AACTGGTATAAGATAATATGTGTGCATGTGCAAATGAAGCAATCGCTATGACTCGAGCACTCTAATTTCAGCCATTAAGAAGAATAAGGAGGTTGCTGACACTTTTTAATTTTGTCATTTTGAAAGCACATGCTCAAAAACAACCGTAACTTTGGGAAAAACTTATGTTCAGTTCAGACTGAATGGTGACTGATAAATTGATGAACATGAGGCAGTAGGGCTCTGCATTTGTACCAGTTTATTTGAGCTGGTTCCCAAACCTGTATTTGTTGAATTAATATATATCCTATCATGTAGATGTCATTTTACAAAGGAGGTTTGGTGTTGGGTCAAAACTGTGGCATGTGATTTGATGGTGTCTTAATTACTATTACTATAGAAGGGGCATTCTGGGTGCACTTTGTTTCTAATCTGGTTTAAGACCTTAAGTTGCTTTACAGAACTTTCAAAATTGCAATTGCCAATTTTAAAGCTGCTTTTCAAGTGAATTCAAAAGTCTTGCACATGATAGTGATAGCAGAGCTTTTAGTCTGGTAGATAGGCTCCTTGAAAAGAAAACACGACAAATAAATAGTATAACTACATTTGGAAATTTTAAAAAATGAACTAAATAAAAATAATGGTTTCCAGGGCAGTAAGTGGAGCTGTTCCACATGAAATTTCTGTCATTATAGCTATGCCAGTCAAGGGCTGGGGTAGGTGTGCCCCAGATTCCAACATTGGAAACAATGTTAGCTGCCAATAACAGGTAGATGAAGTTCCAAAATAGCATGGGTTTTGCTGCTCTAAGACTCCACGTCCTCTGTTGGGATTTGTCAAGGTATCTTTGCTAGGGCAATGCTCTTTGCAAAGGCTTACAAGTTGAAGTGTGGTCTGGGGCCATTGTAGACGAAGGGCTTCTAACAATCCAGTGTCCACCAGAAGATTTCATAATAACTTTTATTTCTTTTCCTCTGCTCCTTCTTTGCTTTTGGGTACATGTGTCTCTTTGCAGGATAAGGGAATAGTCTTGAAAGTTGGTTGCAGTGATACTACCCTTTTATTGAGTTCCCTAAACATATTTCACTTCAGTTTTTCTAGATGCTGTTTTTGAGTAGTAGTGACCCATGGGGAAATGCCTGCAGTGAGCCCAAGAATGAGTGAAACTTCCTTAGAGGTGATGAGAAGTCTGAGAAGCGTTTTACTGAAGTACCAGAAGTGAGCCTGTCTCTCATGCTGAGAAAGAAAGAATTTTGGTGCCTGAAGGAGAAGCAGTGATTGTGCACCCTCACACCAAATCCAGAGCCACTGGGAGGTTTGAGATCCCAGCTGAGTGTGGGTTTTTCCCAAGGTCATGGTTGCTTTTGAGCACGTGCTCTCAGAAGGACAAAAATTTTCGACACCCTCCTTAGTCTTCTTGATGGAAGGACTTAGCGAATGCTACAAGGAGATAATGAGCCAAGCAATAACAGCAACTAAAAAGTTTATTATAGGAAGATGGTCATGGGGCTTTTGTCCTGTTGGTTTGACAGGAGATGAAATTTTGAAGAGCAGCCTAGAATCTCTCTATTTTCAGCACCTAATAATGAAGATATTCACCACACAAAGAAAACCCCTGAAACAGTCTTGAATGCACATCCAAGCTTCCAGCTGTGTCTGTACTCACTGCTTATTTAGGGAATTGTCTTTTGCAGGGTGGTGGAGTTGAGCTGGCAACTGTGAAAAAGGGAGGGAATACTCTATTGATGGGTAACAGTGAGGCTGTATAGCTTTCCATTAGCGTAACTCATGATTCAACTAGCCATCGATACTCAGAACAAAATCAACACTGAAAAATTGATCTTGGACTTTGCCAGCTAGTGTCGATAACTGGAAATCCTAGGGCAAACTTTTTAGCAGTTCAGAGATTGAAACAATTGTTTGCAAATCATTTACTCAATGCAGACACAGCTGCCTCAGCCTGATGGACTCCAGCACAGTTTCTAAGCCAGGCACTTCCAATTCCTCACTATGGTTCAGCGTCTGATTCATCATGTCAGATGGGCTTGATTCATTTTGGCCATTGTTTCCCTGCTTGTAAAATGGATGCGATCATAATCTGCTGGTTGTAATATCTGTCTGCCTCACTTGAGCTATTGTGTGGGTCAGTTAATGTCCATGCTGTGTGCCGCAGCTGAATGGGAGACAATGGAGCCTGCAAACGCTAGCGACGACGTGCTCTCAGTTGGGTAGCGTTGAGAGAGAGACTTTGTGTATGCTTCCCTCCCATCCTCTGGGGGTTTGGATATAATCACGGTATCGTGATGGCAGTCAGGTGCTCCTTGCCTGGGGGCCCAACCATGCCTGCACTGTGGCCTGCCCCTGAGCGCAGTGCCAGCCCCAGTGCAGCTCTGCCACCACCACAGGTCATGTCCTTCTTCCTCTACTCCTTCACCTCTGTGCACTGTTTGTGCCTTTCCAAGGGCAGGAGCTGTCTGTAGGTAACAGAATGCATTGGCGCTGAGGAACAGAATCGCAGAATGGTCAGGGTTGGAAGGGACCTCTGGAGATCATCTAGTCCAACCCACCCCTGCAAATGCAAACCTGTTCACAGCTGGTGAACCGGCAGGAGTTGTGGAGAATTGACACCACCTGGAGAAAAGGGGCAGCTGGGGCACAGCGCCCCAGTGCCGCTCCCTGCCACAACCGCATGCTCTGCAGCTGCCCCACGTCATCCTCTGGGGACAGGGAGGACAGCGGGAGCAAGGGGAGCTGCACCCCAAAACTCTTCCAGTTTCCGGTCACCACCTGCTATAGGTGACCCTGCTCTGGCAGGATATTGGACTAGATGATCTTCAGAGGTCCCTTCCAACCCTGACCGTTCTGTGATTCTGTGAAAGGCTTGCATGCGCTAAGGTGCTCAGCAGTCCTGTAATACTCACTTTCCTGTGATCCGTGATGACTTGGTATCATAAGATGCTCAACTGGTATCAGCCGTGGCTCCCTGCAAAGCACTTGGGCACCAGGCTTCTCGCTCAGGCCACTAACATCCAGCTCCATTTATTGTAAAGTGTCTTTGTCCCTAGCTAATGAAAATTAACATCTGTCATGCGATGCAATGTCTGCTGAGAATATCAAGGTGCTTCACCTGTCGCTCCTCTGATACAAGGAGACGCTTTAATTTCATAAAGGATTAGTGGAAGTGCAGTGGGGATGCAAAAATTGGACTTGCCTTCCACACTGAAGATTTATTAGGTATCTTATAAAATAATACTGCTTTCAATAAAATGAACGTGAACGGAAAAGCAATCCAGTGTTACGTAGGCTTTCTATACTGTCTTAGTAAGTCATTCTAATGAACAGATTAAATCACAGAATTAAATTTTGTATACATATTAGGCTTACCATCTACTAAAGCAATTGCTGCTTAAACATGAAAATTTGTTTTAAACCATCATTTTATAAGATTCAAGACCCATGTTCGCCCTAGGGCTGGGCTTACAACTTTTTGTTTGGTTTTGATGTTCTGAATTTCCTGTAGTAATAGGGTGGCAAGACAGTTGTGTCAACTATCTCTAGGTGGCCTTTAAGAGACCTATTGCAGAGCAGAGCCCTACTACATCATCACTGATAAAGGCATTGACGCAGTGCTGGCTCTAATGCTTGTGACTTGGTGGGGATCCTTACTGATGGCTGCTGCATGGGTGCAGCGTATTTCTGTGATGCTACAGCGCGATGTACGGTTGGGGGGAAATAATGTTCAAAGGATTTTACTGAGGGGTCTAAAGCTCTGGTGTGTATAGAATTTTAGTTGCCCTTTCTTACTGATGATGCTGGGAAATAAGTGAGCCCCTACAGAGTGACATAACGGGTCTAGCAGTAGAGTGGTGATTACTGTCCCTGAATTGCTACAGGTTTCAGGTGTGGGTGTGAAGGAGTGACAGTAAGGAGGTCCTTAATGAAGTGAAAAGAGAAGCCAGTCTTAATAAAAGCTCTTGTGTCATCAGCTGTCACGTGTGTGAGCACTTGCACTCAAGTAATGTAACCTTTACAGTCTTCAATTCTGATCTCTTTAGCTCTGTAATACCTGCTTACGAATTACATTGGTGCGTTCTTAGCAGTTACTTATCTTATTCATTGTAATTGCATGCTTACTTGAACATGCTCTTGTTCACCAAGTTCCCTCAAAGTACTCGCAAGTAATGTGTTGCTCGTACAAAAAAATGGCAGTGAAGGGGAAGATCAAGAGTAGGTGAACTTTGGTGTGAGAAGGGAGTTGGAATAATGAAGCACACACAATCTCTGAGCTCATTTTTAACACTGAGTCGGACAGTCTGTCCTATACACCTGACGGAGCTGAAAAGTGCTTTGATTGTTCTCACCTTGCTTAAGTCCAAAAAAAAACCAACCTAGATAATACTGCACAGCTTTAAGTCCTGGTTGCTTGTAAAATAATTTGCCTATAGACACCTATTACTACTTAATATTTTTTGACAAAGGACTACTTCAGTATTTTGGCAAAGTTATATATGTTGAAAGACTAAATGCTTCTTCAGATTTAATGTGTTACAGTAATGCCCAATTTAATGCAGTAACTGTTGTGCTGATTTAGGATTAAGGACTCATGATGAGCTTTGATAGTGAGCATCTAAGGGGAAGGGGAAATAACAAAGACATTTGTTTTTGTGGACCTCTTGCATGTTGACTTGTGGCAACATGTTGAGTTGAAGGGAATTGATTTGTGCTTCCTTTAAAAGTGGTGGAGAAGAGTCCAGCGGCCTGTAAAGCACAGATCTTTGATCTGTTATGTGGTGAATGTGTGTAGGAAGCATTATTGAACAATTCTGGTTGATGTTTCAAAAAAATGCCTTATATAGCTGCACTGCATATCACAAAGTTGTGATTATTCCAAGCCTTTGTTTTCCCTTATCGTAAGAAAACAGAATCTCACAACAGTGAATTATTACTTTAATAGCATTGGAAATAGGTCCTCAGAAATGCAGGCTCTTTCAGATAATTTCTGTGTGGAAATTTCCTTGCAGATGAATTACTTCAGAAAGAGCAAAACTATTCCGATGATGTTTTGGCCAATATGATCAGCGAGCCCAGAATCAGCTATGGAAATGATGCTCTCATGCCTTCATTGACGGAAACTAAGACCACAGTTGAACTTCTTCCAGTGGATGGAGAATTCAGCCTAGATGACCTTCAGCCATGGCATCCCTTTGGTGTTGATTCTGTTCCCGCCAATACTGAAAATGAAGGTATGTACAATAGGGAAAAAAAACACAGAATATTCTGAGTTCAGCTTTGTGGTTTCTCTTCACGTTGTTTCCTGAAAATTGACATCTTTCTGATATAAGTAGGGTAGAGGTTCTTAACAGTAAGTTTAGAACCGACCTGCTGTGTCTCTTTGATGGAACAGAAAATCCTGACTAAAATTCGGAATTAAGACACTCAATAAATTTCAGCGTTGAGCTTACTTTCCTTTAAAAACAAATTAAAATAAATTCCAGCAAATTATGGGTGACAGTTTTATAAAATATATGACAATGAGCTAAGGGAGATAGATAATTTGTTAGATTTGTGCCATGATGAAATGAGTGTTTTAGTTAAGGAAGATCTTTTTATTTGCTGACTTGAAAATGATTACAGATCCGGTACATTCCTAGCATGAGAGTTGATTTTATTTCCCCCTCGCCACTGGTTGTCTGGAATGTGCTGCAGAAATGTTCCTGCATACTCAGCAATGCAACTGGCTAGTGAAAACTTATTTCCTGGAGAGTACTTTATGTTGCTAATTGACTAATTTATTGAAGTGCCTGCATAATACTTTAATAATTTATGTATAATCTGGAATTGGTAGTTTACTTAGGTGCCAGAGCCAATTAATCAGGAACCTGAGGGACTTCGATCATGTCATTCAAGTTCCTCCTATTGTATTTGTTTTACTTTATCGGTTCAACTCCACTGCCATTAGTGCTAAGTTAATCACATTAGTGAAAGTTTGTTATTGCAAAGCAGCAGTAGATTCACAGAGACTGGGGGTACAGAAGGCTTTTTTCAGGCAAATGTGTGTTTTGTAGCTGAACTGCACAGGCTTTAACATCCTCTAGAAGTCTTTTGAAACCACCGGCTTAGGCTATCCCTGCTCTCAGAATGAGTTTTGAGATCAACCTTACGCAGTTAGTCTCACTCTAGCACCATGTGTGAGTGACTGTGGGCAACTGGGTGCTTGGGGGATGAAACACAGGACATGGACGTGGATTTGCCAGGTCTGGTGTTGGTGCCAGGTGAAATCAGTGGAGTCAGAACCAGTTTTGTGGGCAAAGTGGGTCGTCCCCAGGACTCAGAGAAGCATTAGATCAGGTGAAAGAGAAGACATGGCTAGGATCTGAGCGAAGGTCAACAAATCATTGAGGTGTAAGTATACTAGATTTGAGGGGAAGAGAAGAGGCTGGTCAGGAGTAGGGCTAAAATCAGACCACCACGGAGTCAGCACTACAGGTAGGGACCAAGAAAAAGAGCAACAAGAGCTGGAGCAAATTCAACGTACTGGCCAGCAGCAAGGACCAGAAGACTGGAGATGCTGACAAGGACTCCAGACATGTCTGGAGGGCACTTGCAGCCAAGTGACGTGCTGAGCAGCTGAGAGCAGCTGGCTGGATTGCGTCAGGTGCTGGCGAGTAGTACAAAGGGCTGACCAGGCTGGCAGGCTAAACTTCCAATTTCCTGGGGAATCAGCTGCAGCTCGCTGTAGCACCCGCATCAAGGCTCTCTGCCAGGACCAGGCCACAGTCCGGCTGGTGTTGTCTGTCCTGCAGGAATTTTCCGATACAGCTCTTGCTGCCGTTTTTTGTATAGCTGAGGCATATAGGGCATCAATTTCTATACCCGCTGCCCGCTTTTATGAAACTGGGGGGAGGGGAAGAGGGATTAATTACTTAAGTCTGTCCTCCCAGCTTTCAAAATGCACTCATTTCAGTCACCAAGTTCAGAAGTTATTAGGCAGACAGGTGCACCCAGACATAACCACAGTTTAATCACACAAGCCTTTTTTTTCTTCCAAAACCTGGCTAAGCCCAGAATTTAATAATGAAAGGTACATACTTCATTGTGACACTGAATTCCCATAGGCAAGCATATACTGAGCATGGTTCTACTTTTAAAACATATGACAGCAAATAAAAACCAAAAACTCGCCTGCCTTGAATAACATACTGTTTAATTATGAATCCTCTGTATTCTAATTCACTACAGGGGTCGTTGCAGCACTTCCTAATGTTTGCTGTGGGAGCATCTTTCTTTAAATTGTTGGGCTTTAGGGCTTTTTTTGATATCAGAATTATACTTGTCAGGAAGTTACTGCAGCAAACAATTCTGTTAGGCCAACCGTTATTAGCATTTAAGCCTGGACAGTTAGAAATAGAAATTATTTGATGACTTAAACCTTTTCAAGTCCTTCTTGTTTCCCATTATACTTCTCTGTCATCTACCCAAACCACGATGTTGTTAATGTGATCACGCTTACAATACCTTTTTTCTCTCTTTAGATACCCTGTCTGTACCTTTTCCCATAGTATCAAAGGGGAATTTCACAGCCTTTGTGTTTTTTCCTTTGTGTTTGTCTCCCACCTCTTTGTTCCAGAAACTCAGGACTAACTGTGCCACTTGTCCTCACTTCCCATGCCTGTTTTCTTCTGTGACCATGGTTTAATCCCAGGCTTTGTCTAAATTGCTTCCAAAAACATGTGTCTGTTATAATATGCTTTGGAAGTAACAAGAAGTAAATAACAATTGACGCCATTTTCTCCTCTTTTTTTCCTCTCCGTCTCCACTGAAGGTCCATTTGAATAGTCTGTTTTTCACAAAGTAAGTTCCCCTTAGGCAGAGAGGTTTTTGTATTTTATGCAGTACTGAGCAAGTCATTGCTGTTTCTTAACATCGATCAAACCATTGATCAAAAAAGGTTCAAAAATCATGTGCTAGAGAAACCTCAAATACTGTAGAGTGACGAACCATTGCAGTTTTAGTGACAGTCAGCATCTCTTGCTGCTGGGAGATGCTGAGCATGCCAGCAAAGGTCAGAGAACTGAGCATCATCTCAGCTCCCACGTCCTTGGATGAGGGCTGAGAGTACTCGGCACCATCAAGAAAATCACGACATGTTCCATATGAACGGCTGCTACCTGGGAAATCTGCTGAGCCTTGGGTCCAGCAGATTTAACAGAGACTACCAGAGGAGTTTCAGAGGGCAAGCAAGTTACAAGTTCAGTTGTTGATACTGTTTTGGTCTATTTTGAAAGCTGAAGTCAACTTTTTTTAAAGCTCTGATGAACGCAAATCCAGTGTGCTATCAACTCAGCCTATGTAGGTGGGTTTCAAGGTAGAATGAGAGCCTCAACTTCCTCACTGCCAAGAGCTGTCACACTGTATAAGCAATAGTTTTCTTCAGTCCTGAGTGGGCACACCAAGTAAATCATTTACCTCATTGCAAATCTGCATTACTGTCAAAACAAATTTCTAATGGGACCATTGATGTCTGAGAGGCAACTGAACAGATCCCGGGTTAGGACCTGGGATCCTACCCCCTCCAGCACAGTCGCAGCAACAGGATTTGTTTTTAACGAACCATTTGGGGGAATGCTTGAGCCAAAATGTGATTGTGGAAAAAGTGGAAGGAAATGTAGCCATTAAGTCTTTGTTTCAAAATATCCAGTGTTCTGCATACAAGCGATGAAGTTAAAATACTACAAAAAATACCTTAAATTTGTCATTAGTTCCCATGCCTGTTTTCTTCCGTGGCTGTGATCTAATCCCAGGTTTCACCCAGAGATATTAATAATGTATTGTATTGGTACGTTGCCATGTAATCTCAAGGTTTCATAACTCCATTTGAAGTGTTCCCAATCTAAACTGAATGTTTAGATAACAGGATAAGTTTTATGCAAACAGTTTATTTTACTAAAATTGCTTTTACTCATGAATTAGTGAAAAATAGCCTAAAAACAAAAAGACCTTGAAAGTCTATCATAGGTCAGTAGTTTCTGATATTTTCTTCCTTGTTATTTTCCCTGAGGTAGTTTCCTAGTAAATGTCCCCAAAAATTAATCCAAAGCACCAGGTAATACACTGCACAACTTGCATGGCTGACCGTATGTCTAATGTATTAAGATACAAATCAGGTTAATGAAAAATACCCTCTGAGGACACTGCCGAAGGCAACACCAAACTCTCAGGAAATTGTACTTTAACAAAGAAGAACTCATCTTCAGAAGTGGGGGTAAAACCCCAAAGCTGTGAAGCTCTGACACTGCCACGGTCCCTGGGCATTTCGCCAATGGCTAACTGGGTTTAGTGTTTTACCCTTTGTATTTTATCATGCAGCTTACAGTTAGCTTTAGTGATAAAGTGTTTATCTAAAGTGAGATTTTTGTGAACATACTCTGTTATCCTTATGACTTAGCCAGTTCCTCCTGTCAATGCTGTTCTTGGTAGATGAGCATCACATAGCTCTCCTCACCTGCTGGTTTGTACCAATTTTTGAGCTTTTTGATTCATTTTTCTTGTCTTTTTGAAAAGAGAGGCAACCATGTTTTCTCTTGCTCTTATGAGATCATAGAATCATAGAATGGTTTAGCTTGGAAGGGACCTTGAAGATCATCCGGTTCCCACCCCCCTGCCATAGGCACGGACACCTTCCACTAGACCAGGTTGCTCAAAGCCCCATCCAGCCTGGCCAGGGTTGGATTTCCCCCAGCCTCTCTGGACAACCTGTTCCAGTGCCTTGCCACCCTCAAAGTGAAAAAATTCTTCCTAATATCTAATCTAAACCCACCCTCTTCCAGTTTAAAGCCATTCCCCCTTGTCCTATCACAACACACCCTAGTAAAAAGTCCTTCCCCATCTTTCCTGTAGGCCCCCTTTAGGTACTGGAAGGCCACAATAAGGTCTCCCCAGAGCCTTCTCTTCTCCAGGCTGAACAGCCCCAACTCTCTCAGCCTCTCCTCATAGGAGAGGTGCTCCAGCCCTCGGATCATCTTTGTGACCCTCCTCTGCACCCACTCCAGCAGGTCCATGTCTTTCTTATGTTGAGGACTCCAGAGCTGGATGCAGTACTCCAGGTGGGGTCTCATGAGAGTGGAGTAGAGGGGCAGAATCACCTCCCTCGACCTGCTGGCCACACTGCTTTTGATGCAGCCCAGGATGCTGTTGGCCTTCTGGCTGTGATCATACATTGCTGGCTCATGTTGAGCTTTTCTTCAATCAGCACCCACAGGTCCTTCTCCTCAGGGCTGCTCTCAATGTATTAGCATTATATATGAGGTGGGCCCCCTTTAGGTACTGGAAGGCCACAATAAGGTCTCCCTAGAGCCTTCTCTTCTCCAGGCTGAACAGCCCCAACTCTCTCAGCCTCTCCTCATAGGAGAGGTGCTCCAGCCCTCGGATCATCTTTGTGACCCTCCAATGGACCCACTCCAGCAGGTCCATGCCTTTCTTATGTTGAGGACTCCAGAGCTGGATGCAGTACTCCAGGTGGGGTCTCATGAGAGTGGAGTAGAGGGGCAGAATCACCTCCCTCGACCTGCTGGCCACACTGCTTTTGATGCAGCCCAGGATGCTGTTGGCCTTCTGGCTGTGATCATACATTGCTGGCTCATGTTGAGCTTTTCTTCAATCAGCACCCACAGGTCCTTCTCCTCAGGGCTGCTCTCAATGTATTAGCATTATATATGAGGTGGGATGTGTACTCTGTATGAAGCCTGCGTAGTTAGCATCAGCAGTTATCTACCAATTTAGTTTCATGAGGCTATTTGGAAAATAAATTTGCAGTTTTAGTTCTGTGTACTGTGCACGTGGAAGTGTGTTCAAGAGAAGATTGTGGAGCATCTAAATGAATGCAATTTTTATAATAATATGATACACAGTACATCTCAGAGTTTTGATTATTGAGAAATGCTGTAATGGGTTTAAACTTCTCCTCTCTATATCAATGGTTGTGAGGTGGTGTGGTCCAGCGGGACAGGCAGTGAGGGAGCCCGAAGACAAGATTTTTCAGAGCTAACTGCTGTTTGTGCATCATCAATACTGGGGCAAGAGCAAGCAGGTTTTAAAATGCAACTGAAATTCATAAGGTGGCAGCTTGGGGCTCTCCAGAAACCAGCCTGTCCTTGTGTTATGTTGCCCGGGGCATGCTGCACTAGGCACCCAGAATCATGGTCTGCCCTGGAAGACCCTTGGCTCTGAGCTTTTGCCTCCAGTTTTTGCCCTGCAACTGGTTTGTGACCTGAAGCAGGTTGTTTTGCTTTTGTGTCACTTAGGAAATGTGCCAGTGATATTTGCCTTTTCCCCTGTAAAGTACTTCCAAAACTATAGATTACAAGAATAATTATTCATTATTAATACTTCCATCCAGCTCCACAAATACTGCATTACCCTGAGGTCACATCTGTGCTACTGTGTAACAGAAGCTTCCTCCATCCATTTCTCCCTTCACCTACTCGCATTTTTATTGCTACCCACAACCTGCTCACTCAGTTCTCCACAGCTATGGGCATGTAGGGTTACAGAGTGCTGAGCGAGAGGAAAATAAAACCTTTCAGCCTTCTAGGGAGGAGGTGGGGGCCAGGGCGACAGAGGAGGGTACTGCAGGGGCAGTTTGGGTGATGTCAGTCCTTGGTTGTTTCATCTCTTCAGTCCATTCCACTGAAAATTACTGCTGACCTACCTAAGGGTTGGTGCAGACAGTATTGGAAAACCTGGCAGAAGACTTAAATAGGAAAATACTCAAAATCATAGTTTTTAGTTAAGGATGGAAATTGCTTTTTGTATACCACTATGTAAAGAAAGCAATTACATGGTCTGCTAGTGCCACTCTGAACTGCTGAGAAGGAGAGTGGTTTGATGGCTTGTCTCTGCAGCACCAGACCAGCAAGCTCTGTGACAATTTTGCCCTTCTGGAAACACAACCAAGTCAGATGTGCAGATGCGCTTTTAGTCTGCGGCTCCTATAAAGCTGACTTACTGCTTTTTTCTGGAGGCAGGAGCTATTGCAGTCATCTCCTGCGTACAAAGGACATGGGTGCCACAGAGGCTCTCACTTACAAGCATGGTACGTTGTTTGTCAAACCCATAGGAACACTTAGCAAGTGACACAGACGTCCTACGAAGATGGACAGTCCCCTTGCTTAAGTTAGCAGTATCGTCAGGTTAGTGTGATTTTCTGATGCCAAATACAGTGAGCAGTTCATGATTGAAAACTGCTTTTTTCAGGTTTCCTGTGTTACAGTGGCTACCTTACTGCTGATTGGAAGGTTCACACTTGAATCCTGAAATTCAAATGAATGAGAATACCTCATTTAAAAAATTCTGAATTCCAAGCTGCAATGTAAAATTTTATCTTTTAATTTCATTTCTTTCTGACACTGGCACTTGGATAGATAAGGAAGGCAGTAGTATTACAGCAAAAGAGAGAAACAACAAAAAAAAAAAGGGGGGGAAAAAATCTGAATGTTTTAATGAACTTCTCCAGTATGTTCAGTTTGGACTTAACTGAGTAATGACTCAAACTGCTCTAAAAGTTTTGCAAATCCTTTTTTCTATTAATGCCGGTGAGCTCCATCAACCTCAGGTTTCAGCTAGGAAAGCCTTGGTATGGTAATACAAAAATTTTAAAACCATGTATGACACACAATTGGGTAGAAAGTGGTGTCTCTCTTTAGCTTCCTCTTCAAAAATCAGAAAGTAAATTTACTGTCTATAAATCAGAACACATCAGAACAAAGTATTGATTGTATTTTCAAAATGTGTTTTACTTTTTTCAAACCTTAGCTACTGCTGTAAAGAATTCCTATTGAAAGGAAAAAGGAGTCAGGATTCAGTGGGTTTGTAAGTCAGCATTGATCAAGACTGGCTGCAAGAACTCACTGATCATGTCTGTTCTTGCTGCCAATTCTGACCGGACAACTGGAAAAAGTTTGCACGTAATGAATATAGTTTCACTCTAGACAGAAATTCTTTTATCTTGATGGTTTCTCACTTTAAGCAGTAACCAGAATATGATGTAAAATTGACACATCAGCTGTGAAGCTTTCCTTTTGAAGTCATGCCCATCCCTTCCTTTTATTTCCAGGATTAACTGAAGGCAGATTTTTTCCAGCTGTTGCTTTGGTAACTTTGTTTATGCAATATGTCTCTCCTGCACTGTCCCAATGGAAGACTAGTTGCCTTTATCATTTGGGGGATTTTGTTTATTTTTTGTTTGCTTTTTTGTTTCTTTTCTGCACATGCCCAGTTGAGCCAGTTGATGCCCGCCCAGCTGCAGACAGAGGACTCACCACACGACCAGGTATATAACTTGCATGGCTTATACCTAACCTATGTTTTCCCTGCGTGCATGTGGTCTGCTTGAGCTGAAATGATCACCTTTTCTTCGGTATAACCCTCTCTTAAAATGTAATGCTATGCCATGAACCAGGGAAGCGTTCCCACACAAACCCCGGTCCGCCTGTGTGAGTGCTCTCTGTGCCAAGGGTGTTCCGAATGGGTTCTTGCAGAGGGAGTGGGACCCAGAGACCCAGAACTGGTACTCGTATCAAGTCATCATCCCTTCTGGCAACAATGCTTTGGCAGGTACAGGAGGCAGTAGACACTGTACCCCATAGGGCAGAGAGTACTTTTAATTTTGGAAGGTATGATAGAAGTGTCGAATTCTCTATATAGAGTATACAGTTTCTGGTAAGTTGGGGATAATAAAGAATTTGTGTGCAATTTTAGAATTGCAGGGGACATCAAGATTTTTTTTGCTGTGATATTTATCTTAGCTAACTCCAGGTATCTAAAAATTGGTACGTATATTCTCCGTCTGGATTCGTTGAGGGCAGCTCTATACATTTATTCATTCCATTCTAGGATAGAGAGGGGTGATTATTTGCCCTCTGTAGGTACCCATGTCTTCCTATTGATTTCAGAGTAATAGCAGATGACTAGCTTGAGCCAGGCTGCAAATGTTTGGAAAAGTTTAATGGGACAAATCCAATTTTCAAAAGCAAAAGATTGCTTCTCATACTAACTTTTTTTTGCTTTTTAGGTTGTTTTTCCTCTTGCTTTTATTTAGGATTATCGAGAAATGACTGATTCCATTGAGAGCAGCCTTTTATTTCAGAAAAGGTTACTCTCCAACACGTAGTGAAATTAGATCGGTATATTTTATGGTCAGAATTATTTCAGTGTCACATTGTCATTGTGTTTTTTTCTTCAGATCAGATCAAACTGATCAATTGGTCTTCTTTTTCCCTTCATCTTTTCCTCCAAATGTCCATTAGATAGCATTATAAGCAGCACGCTCCTAGTGTGTTTAAATCTCTCTGGTAACTCTCCCAAGTTTTCTGACTGCAGAAGTTGCTACAATGGAAAGTAAATAAGCTCTTATGTACAGTAATTGGGATATATGTCAAGGATGGCCAGGTGATATGCTCCTAGCACTGTTTTAGGAGTCTGACATCTTTACTTGTGTTTAGAGTCTTAATTAATTCCATTAAGAGAGCCTGGAAACAGGTATAGAGTACTGTACAAAACAGGTACAGGTACTGTACAACAGTGCCAAAAATCATGAGACCAGGGAACATCCCCCCAGTACTGGGTTATCTCCACCTTCTGAATTAGATTTCTTCCCCAAGAGCAGTAGAAATATCATCACAAATGAAACATAAATGTGTTTCATCTGAAATTTGTAATGTTAGTTCAATCTAGCAATTTTCTTGTAATACTAAAGTTTATGGTTGTTAACTATTTTAATTTTGGTCATCTTGAAGAATCTCCTGTTATGAAGCTCATATTTATTACTGAAGATGATTCCTTCCTCCCTTCTATTCCCCCACACGTACACACACACGACAGATCTTTGGTGTCCCCTCTCTAGAGAAAGGATTTTCTCACGCTGCTGCACTCTAGTTTCTGAGTGAAATGGTGTGTTCTAGTCCACTGTATCAGAGTGCTTTGTTGGTTGGGGTGATACAAATAGTACTAATATGGCTAGCATAGGTCATGACTGATCTTGTGAATCTTCTAAGGAGGGGTACAAAGTATTTCAGCATGCGACCATTATGGCTTGAAATTTCCAGCAGATGCAGTAGCTTTTGCACTATGAATATCACATGGGTTATTTCCTCAGTTTTCTGCTCAAGTGCAAAAGTGGTACTGTCCAGGGGCCTGTGCCTTCATTGCTTTTAGTGCAGAGTTTAAGTGCTGCAAAGGCCCATGCTCTGCTTTTAGCACAGAGAGTGAACCCCTCTGGCCTGGCAAGGATGCACGCTGCATTCCTCCAGGCAGAGGAGTGGTTGGTTCCCCGTAGAGGTTGAAGTCTGTCATTGCTGTGTCTGCATTCCAAATTTCACAGCATAAAGTGTCTTACGTGTGCATGCGAAATAGGGATTTTACCCCTTTACAGTAGAGCTAAATGTGTCATAACAGTTAGCAAAACATACTCTCTTCACACACTCTTCTAAATGTAAACCTTTAGTTCCTTATGTCTTTAATCACCAGGTTCAAACTTGTGCAAGTTTGTCCTTACGGACACAAATTCTGGCAATAAGTGTCTACCTGATTTTTCATCATGCTTTAAAAAAAAATTTATCTGTGATAAAATTTCAGTTTAACCAAGAACTGATACCAGTCTGAGTAGCTTCATAAACTAGGAATAGAGGAAAGCAAATGGATGCTTAATTAAACTGTGAAACCAAAGAGATTCTGACAGTTTAAAATGTGTGCTTTAAAATTGTTTTAGTTGCTAATTATAAATAAAATTTCTATGTTAGGGGTTAAAAAAGGAAAAAATACTTTTTTTCAGTCACTATCCTTTTTGGGATAGTCAGTTTTTACAGTTTGGGGCTATTCTTTATGGGAAAAAAAAATCAAAAATGAGGATGTTATTCTAGAATGAAAAAGTATTAACAAGGAACCTGGAGGCAGATTAATAGATGCAGCTGCTTGTAACATTTTTGTTTTGTTTTAATTGCCCAGATTCTTGTTGATTTCCTGAAAGGTTTGCCCTTTTCATAGTCCTGACTTTCCAGTTTGTGCTTCTACTTCTTTTGCTCAAGTGAACAAGGCGGTGGCCTGCTTCTTCAGGGGGCAAATACAGATGTCGTGTCAACCTGTAGCAGTCCAAGCCTGGGAATAAGAACAAGTGAATATTTTGTAGGTGTTCAAAATCCTTGAAGAAAATCAGCTCTGAAAGGACCAAGACAAACATACAAACATGTGCCCTTTTTTCCCTTTTCCTTTTTCTTCTCACCGCTTTTTGCCCACACAACATTCTTGTAACGATCACTATTTTTTTCTTAAAAGTAGATCAAAATCATGCAGATGATCTTTGTCCCTTCCCACAGGAGAGAGAATTTGGTCACAGTATGGTAAAGAAGAGCAAGTACTTAGTTGTTAGTAGTATTTCTGATAACGAGAAACTTGTTACTTCACCACCTCATTCTCACTATGTCAAAAAATAAATATATTCAAGTCTATGAGTGAAGTCAGGAAATGTGAAGAGTTGTCTGATCCATAGAGCAGAAAAGCTTATGAGTAAGGACCAAGTTTAAAGCATTTACTGAAATTTAAGCCATTTGTCCAGATCCCTCCCTCTCTTTCATTCCACCTTGGCTGTCAGTGGTTGAAGCTTGAATTTGAATCTGATTTACATCAGTCCCAGGAGGAGAGTAATGTCGGGGGGACCACCGTTTCCTAGTATAGATACAACATCTGCGTGATTCACACTGGTATTTGAAAAGGAGACGAGTGCTTCCACACACTGTCCTTCCCTTTTTTAATTCACAAATGGGGGAACAAAAACAAGAATTACGCCCTTTCTTGTCATCTCTTTCCTGAAAACGAAGCTGAGATAATAAAAAGTCAAATAGAAGGAAAATATCTCGATGTACTAAGCAGTTGTTAGTGAGCTATTTTTTAATACAGCACAAGATGATAAGAGATCATGACATGCTTCTTGCTATTTATGAATTGCTTCATACAGGGAGATGTTAGAAGGCTTCAATCCAGCCTGACAACTTCCATAGGAAGAGCTTCAAATAGAAAGAATACCTCTTTACTCGATAGCCTCACTGTAACAGCTTTTTCAATTGTTTTTTTTTTCTCGCCTGTGACCCAGAGGTCACAGTTTCATTACGAACATTTAATTTCTTGCAGCTGAATTTTGGGTGTGTGTTTATTAGTAATTTTTTTTCTGTGTGTGTTTATGTGTATTTATATATACAGAGAGAGACATATACACACATGCAGATATGTATAAAAGCATCTATAGATACTCATAAGCAAGCTCCTTTTCACTCATGTTAATTCAGCAGATCTGGTCAGTGGAAATTGAGTGAAGATTGGAAAACCTGTCATCAGAATGGATGTTGATTAGTATCAGCAGTTTTTCTGAAGTTCAAGGTGATAAAGAAAACAACCAGTGCTTTGTTCAGGGTAGATCATATTCTCATCTGTTGCACAGTTGCAACTGTAATTATACCTCTAACAGTTGTAATTATATCACTCACAGGATGCCCGTAATTCTCAAAGCAAGGATTTTATGATATTAACTGTGTTACTTTCTTCCATGTAGGTGTGGTTTGGGTTTTTTTTTGCATTATCCCAACTCTTTGTCAGTTTGTTGTTTTTGCAAACAGTCAATAATTGTGGGGAGACATTGCACATAAAGCTGCTTCTGTCTCTGGCCTTTCCGCTGATAAATCATGACATGTCTGTGTTTATTACATTATATAGAAAGCAGGGGGATTTTTTTTTTTAATACATGGTTGCAGAGGCTCTGTAAGCCTAATGGCTGTTCTATGGCTGTTCGAATATGCTGCAATCTGTATGAGGTGAGGGCATAGAGCAGCTTAGTGAATTATTTATGATTTTCTTGCCAGAAATTGCCAGGGTTTTTTTTTTTTCCTGTTTTAGTGATGTTAGTTCAATACAGTTGTCATAAACCAACTGTCTGCAGCTACCAAATAAAAATCATTAGTGGATTCTTTTCCATTAGGTTGTTTTGTGTTGCTGTATAAATCATATAGTTAGTAACTGTGAATGCAATTAGATGTGCATATACACAGCATCTGCATTGGCATGCCAGAAAGATTACCAGATTTTACTTGTTCTGATTATTCATTTTTACAGACATGTAAAATAATCTCTAGTATTCTGAGAAATAATTATTTCATTCTAAGTTCCAATTAGATTATTTTTTTAAAAAAGTAACATTCTTTTTTGCATTTATTTTCTGCTTTCTCCATTTGAGAGCCCTGTAGTCATCTATGAACCATTTTACTAACTTCCAAGGAGAGACCAGAC